TTTTTTTTTTTTTGAGACAGAGGCTCACTTTGTTGCCTGTGGTAGATTGCTATGACATCACAGCTCATAGCAATGTCAAACTTTTGGGCTCAAGTGATTCTTTTGCTTCAACCTCCCAAGTAGCTGGGACTACAAGTGCCCACCACAATGTCCGGCTATTTTTTGGTTGTACTTGTCGTTGTTTGACAGGCCCCAGTTGGATTTGAACCCACCAGCTCTGGTGTATGTCGCTGAGCGACAGGTGCCAAGCCCAAAGGTCCTTATTTAGAACCTGGAGAGCAAACGTCCTTCATTTTAACTTGCTCTGCTGCTGAGTATTTGTCTTATTTGTGTCAGACACTAGAGGGGAGTGTGGTGTCATACGTGTACCAGGTTCTAAACGACAGGCCATGTGCATGCTGGCATGGCCAAACACAGTGAAAAGCCACAGCAAAGAAGGGCTCAGAAAAATATGTACTCAAGATTGAAATTGGACAACTGTTTGGTTTCCAAAAATCTACTGAGATCTAGTGTTTTACAAAAATATTCCCAGTGTGGGCTTTCATCCTTTTTGAGCAATGACAATGTACAGATGATGTGATGTTCATAACTTTATTTCATTTTAAATTTTTATTTAATTTTGCTTTTTAGAGACAGTCTCACTCTGTCCCTCTGGCTAGAGTGCAGTGATGTTATCAAAGATGGTATAGGTATTTTTCCTTGGCAGATAACTTGACTTTTGGCAGTAAATCACAGTGGTTACAAGTGTGGGGTGTCATAATGTCTAGGTTTAGATTTCTTCTCCTTTCTCCATGTGACATTGGATACATGATTTAAATTACTTCTATGTGCCGCGATTTCCTTATATGCAAAAAAAATAACATTACCTATCACAGAGAGTTGGTGTGAGGGTTAAATCAAATCATGTATTTACAGTACGTACTTAAGACGGTACCTGGAACATAATAAGTAGTCATTACATTTTAACTATTATAAGTTTTAACTTCAGAGTAATGAAAAAACATTTTAAAGTATGAAAGTGGGATATCTTTTCAAGTTATTTTCATCATGATATTTCAGAGCCATTCTTTTATTTATTTTTTATTATTTATTTATTTATTTTTGAGACAGAGTCTCACGGAGTCACCCTAGGTAGAGTGACGTAGGGTCATAGCTCACAGCACCCTCC